GAGAGAGAGAGAGAGAGAGAGAGAGAGAGAGAGAGAGAGAGAGAGAGAGAGAATGAGAGAGAGAGAATAATGTTGCCAGTAGATGGCAGGTGAAAGTGTTTAACACCAAGCCCAGCCACCTTACCTAGTTCAGCCCCGACCCACGTGGTAGAGAAGAGAACTGACTCTCACAAGCTGTTCTTTAACTCTACGTACTTCCCTCCAGCAGATACATTAAAAATGCAGTTCAGCTTATTGTAAAGCCATCACTGTGTATTTCATAAAATAGTTCAGTTTAAGCTAGACAAGGAAGTGCATCCTAGGAGGATATTCAAGCCAGTCTGGCCTACATACTGAGTTTGAGGTCAGTTTACATGAAAACCTGTTTTAAGAATAAATTAAGGGGCTGGGCGATGGTGGCTCACGCCTTTAATCCCAGCACTTGAGAAGCAGAGGTAGGTGAATCTCTGTGAGTTCAAGTCCAGCCTGGTCTACAAAGCAAGTTCCAGCACAGCCAGAGCTACATAGAGAAACCCAGCCTCAAAAAGATAGATAGATAGATAGATAGACAGACAGACAGACAGACAGACAGACAGACAGACAGACAGACAGACAGAGAAGATACATTTTTCTATATAAATTGCCAGTGCTGTGGGATGGGGATGTGGCTCGGTTGATAGAAGGCTTGCCTAGCACGTGTGAAGGCCTGGACTCTATCTGGGATCCAAGCCACTGCAACCTTGGCTCTCAGAAGGTGAAGGCCAGGGTATGAGGATTTAAAGTTATACTTGGCTTCGTGGTGACTTTGACTCCAACCTGGGCTATTAAAAAAAAAAAAATTAAACTGTGTGGCGGTGGCACACGCCTTTATTCCCAGCACTCAGGAGGCAGAGGCAGGCAGATTTCTGTGAGTTTGAAGCTGTCCTGATATAATAGTTCAAGACCAGCCAGGGTTGTATGGGTTATATGGTGAGACTCTGTCTCAGAAACAAATTTCTAAAATTTTTTGTGAAAAAAAAAATATATACAGACACGTATATTCTTACTTTATTTTTGTTTTGTTTTGTTTTGTTTGTTTGTTTGTTTTAGACCTGTTTTTTCCTGGCTATCCTGGAAGTCACTCTGTAGACCAGGCTGGCCTTGAACTCAAGAGATCTGCCTGCCTTTGCCTTCCTAGTATGGGATTAAAGGTGTCTGCCACCATTCCTGGCTTAAAGCATCCAATTTTAAATCAATACGGAATGCTGTTTTTACTTAGTAATGCATGTTCTTTCTGTTAATACCCTCTGTGACTCCAGCAAAGTGTTCATTTCCTGGGGATTCCTGCCCTGTGGGTTGTTCATGGGTTTATAAGCTGAGCACAGGTGCCATGCCCGGGGCTGGTCCTTGGGCACGTCTCCAGACTGGGAAGTTCATGTGCTGAGCCATCTCCAAGTCTGAAGAGCTGATGTAAAATCCAGGGCTTCTAGTGTGCCTTGAAGAAATCAAAAGTAACATTGACTGGACTGCAGCAGCAGCCGTCCTCTTAGTGGCCCCTTTGAGGCCTGAGCAGGCTTGCTTCTAGGCTACATTTTCTTTCTGCCACTGACACCCAATCCCTGCTGTCTCTCCAGCAAGAGCAGAATATCAAGCCCCAGTTCTTTGCCTTCCGCTGGCTGACACTCCTGCTGTCGCAGGAGTTCTTGCTGCCTGATGTCATCCGGATCTGGGACTCACTCTTTGCCGATGACAACCGCTTTGACTTCCTCCTCCTGGTCTGCTGTGCCATGCTCATGTAAGTGGGGCCATGATGTGCCCTGTCCGTCAGGAAAGCTGGGGAGGGCGGTCCTGGAAGGCGGCCAGACCTCCAAGCGGGCCGTGCTGAGGGTGGAGGAATCAGCAGAGAGTCTGCCTGCAGGCCTGCTCCTGGGACATCTAGGGTCCAGCGCTGAGGCTGCTTGTTTTCCTGCAGACTGATCCGGGAGCAGTTGCTGGAAGGGGATTTCACCGTCAACATGCGGCTTCTGCAGGTAATGGGCACTGGAGGGAAGGCCGGTCAGTCTCAGCAGCAGGGCAGACATTTCACCATGCACCAGCCACTGTTGCAGGCTGGCACCAGAAACAGGAGCACGTACTGTGGGTTCAGGGTGCAGACTCTGGGTTTGAATCTGAGTTGAATCCTGGTCTTCACAGACCTTGAGTGGTATACATCCTTGGCCCTCCAGGACTCTAGGCCACAAGGTCAAGGAAGTGAATGTTGCTGATTTTGCTCTGGTGGGGAGTTGTGTGTCACGTGGGTCTGTCAGCCAGCCTGAGGTTCATGTATGTTCTGTTCTTTTCCTCATGTGACTTGAGCCAAGTGACATTGTCCGGGCCTCAGTGTCTACCAACACCTGGCTTTGGGTTTGTTTTCATTAACCTCACTAGCCAGGTCTGTGAGATGGATGTAATCACAGCACCCCTTCTCGGGGTTCCTCGGGGGACTGGAAGACTAAGGGCTATACCGGCAGAGCTAGTTCCAGGTTCTTCATGGGTGTGCCTCCAGGTTCCACGGCTGGAGCTGGGAGGGCTGAGGCCTCGGGCACTATGGTCCTAAGACAGGCTGTGAGACCCTTTGGACCTTAGTGACATGCAGTGTTTGTGGCGGGATACCTGGAGTGTCTGGTATACCAGGTCCCTGCTGCTGGTGCCGTGCCATGGTGACAGATGTGTGTGGAAAGGCAGTGGGGGCTGCTCCAAGAGCACATGTGGTTTCCTTGGTGTCCAGGATTACCCCAGCACAGACGTCTGCCAGATCCTACAGAAAGCCAAGGAGCTCCAAGACTCGAAGTAACCTGGTGGCAAGAGGCCCAGGGTTGGAAGAGCAGCCACCTGCACATCTGGTTTGTGGGACACAGAGGAGTCAGTGGGAAAGCAGTGAGGACAAGCCACAGACCTGGCCAGCTCCAGGCTACTCCTGAGCACACCGTGCTGTGCTCCTTCCCAGTGCTTGGCCCTGCTGCCCTCCCTGCACTTGAGTCCTGAGGCCTCCACCCAGACTGCTGAGCAGCGCGGGAGCTCCCGAACTGGGTTCCTGGGACTGAGGCCATTTGAGGCACAGGAGGCTGGCAAGGGTTCTGCCATGCCTCTGCCCAGTAGCTCCTTACCCTTTGTGCTCTCATCTTCCCCTGGGTCCTGGTCAGGGGAGGAAATTGGCTAATGGGCCAGAAACCATTTCTGAGCATTGGTGCTCAAGCTACTTGGGGAAGGCACCCCAGAATTGCTGAGAGACTGCCAGTTCTAGGTTCACCTTTTGTCTCCCCTGTCCGGTGCATTTGCTCATGGTCGGGGTGTCCCCCAGGTGTCTCTGCTCCAGTGTGTGTATGTACACGTGTGTTCACACATGCCCTGGAAGCGGAGTGGGCATGTTGGAATCCCTCTGAGGTCCTGCTTCCTCTCTTCTGTGTCTCAACCTCTGCTGTCTCCCTCTTCCTCTGCCAGAGGTGTGTGTGGCTCCTGCCGTTCCTTCCTCTTCATGTCTCTACCCTTCACCTGGAGCACCTTACCCCAAACCTCTTCCTCTCTCCTCTCTGCTTCCTGAAGCCAGCAGTCAGAATGAGGAGTGTGGCTTAGTAAGACCCCTGTAGGCCATCCTTGGCTTAGGCACCCTGTTCCCATCCCCAACCCAAGGTTCAAGGTCCCCTCACCAGAGAGGGAATCACAGTGGCTCTTCAGGGGGCCTGCTTGGCTTGAGGAAGCCAAGTGCTGCTGACATGGTGGCCTGCGACACTCGGGGCCTCTTGCCCGTTGTTTGCCCAACTGTGGAGAAAGGAGGGAGGAGGAGTCTTGTAAGGGCCTCCCTGGAGACTCATCATCTCAGAGACCAAGGACGTCCCGCTGGGCTGAGCCTGGGAGCTGGAACCTGAGCATCTCAGCAGAGCTGGCATCCCTAGGCTTCCATGTTCCTGCCCAGGGTGTGTAAGTCTCATCAAGGGCAAGGGACCAAAGGATGCCTCTCTGTGGCCAGCATTGGCTAAACTCGAAGGCCTGGAGCTTCTCAGTGCCAGGAGAGCTACGTCTGTAGCTGTGCTACTGCAGGGGCTGCAGAGGGTGCTTGGGCTGTCTCCTGGCTTTGGGGACACAGTGCCTGAGCTGCACCCTGTTCAGCAAGTAGACTTTTCCTAACCTTGACCCTCCCTCCTTTTCTGTGGAGGCCAGGTGGTTTGAGTCCTGAAGGCAGGCTGACAGCAGGGGAGGGGGTCCTCACCCTCTCAGACTGGCCAGCAGGAACTAGGCTCCAGCAGCTGCTACCCGAAGCCTCTGAGACCAGTTGCAGGGCTCCCTGCCTTCCCAAGCCGCTGCTCTAGTAAACTTCCTTGGGTGCTGCTGGACTCTGTCTGCCTTTTTGCTACCATCTCCCCCAACATACAATATTTGGGTGATTTTTTTTTTTAACTATTTATTTAGACATGGGCTATTTATTGCAGATTGGCAAGTGAGTTGGGCTGTGCGCGGGTGGTAGTGACTGGGGTGACAGAATTGGAGGCATGGATCGTCTTCATTTCCCCAGGTTAACCCTGGCACCCTCTCCCATTCCTGGCTCTACTAGAACTGAGTATGGGGAGGCCCGAGCTGCTGCATTTGCTGTACTCAGAGATCCAGGGCATACACTCCCACCATCCTGGCCGCCCCTTAATGTAGGGCTTGTCAGCGGTAGTTCAGCCCCAGCATTGACCTCTTCATTGCCTGGAAGCCAGCAGACACTGCCTGGGACACCTACTGCATTCATTCCCTCTTGCCAATCCTCCCTCCCTTGCTCTCTCCCTCCCTCTCTTCTTGGGACCATGCTACTGGAATCACTGCATCCGATTTGTTTCTGTGGGAGACCTGCATCCTGTGCCCACTCTTTGACCCTGGAGATGAAGGCCAAGGGCATGGAGGCTGTCTGGATAGAGTGGCTCCCCAGTCGGGTGCTGCCTAAGAAAAGGACTTGCCTGTGATGATTCTTAAGGAAGAACCAGAGTCTGAATTCAGCAGCTTCCACATGGGGTGGCCCCAGGAGCTTGGCAGGTCACCCCGGGGGACCGGACAGCAGTGGCTTTTGTGTTCTCATCCGTTCTCTGAGTCAGTGCTGTTGATGAGTTGTCTTTAATAAACCGTGTGATCTTTACCATGTATGTGTAATGGTGCTTCCGTGGCTGGACACGAGACTTTGGAGCAAGGACAAGGTCAAAGTCCCTTATCCTGGCCTAAGGAAGACTAGGAACTGCTTGCCAGGAAAGCCTGACTCCTCCAGTTCAGCTGCCTCGCCCAGTAGGAGGCAGGTGGGCTAACCCAGTACCCACCGCTTTGTTACTAGCTTTAAGTTGTATTTATCTGTGCGCGTCCTGCAGGTTGAGAGGTCTTGCCGGAGGGAGTCAGTTCTCTCCTAAGGATCAGGTGGCGAGCACCTCCACCCACTGAGCTGCCTCACCTGCAGCTACTTTAGTTGGTACTTAGTTTAGAGGTAAGAGTTTACTACATAGTCCAGGCTAGCCTCAATCTCTGTTCATATACTCTTAGCCTCTGAGGCAGGAGCTTCTGCCTCAGAGTGTTGGGATTAAAGATGTGCCGGCACACCTGGCTAAAAGCCGGGTCTTTTCTTTTTTGTCTTCCTCCCTCCCTCCTTCCCTCCCTCCTTCCCTCCCTCCTTCCTTGAGACAGGGTTTCTCTGTCCTTCCTTGAGACAGGGTTTCTCTGTCTCAGAGTAAGTCCTGGAACTCACTCTGTAGACCAGGCTGACCTCAAACTCAACAGAGATTCCCCTGCCTCTGCTTCCCGAATGCTGGGATTAAAGGTGTGCACCACCACACCCGGCTTCAGGAGTGTTTCTATATGCTAACTGTAAATTCTGAAAATAATAAAATGCTGCTTGCAATACCTAGCAGAAATTACTTAGGAATTTTGTGCTGGTCATTGAGCCCAGGCCCTCACACACATCAAGCAAGCACTGAACCCCTGAGCCAGAACCACAGCCCCAAGAATACTGAACATTGTGAAGCCTTGGGAAAGTTGAAGGAGGTGCAGAGAAACAAGGCTCTGCAGTTCCAGGTTGGAAGAATTTACCTCCAGTCCCAGTATCTAGAACACACCACAGGTTCTAGTGTGTATAGCTGAGTGAATGAACCTTCTCCAGCTGGTGAGAAAAATAAAATTCCCCTCCGGCTTAAGCAGCTCGCAGCTAAACAAGTCCAGCACCAGGAGTGTAGGAGGAAGGTGGCGTAGGCTGCCTCCTCAGGGATTATGGGATGGGAGGAAGGGTTCCAGCTCATGGCAATTTAATAGTGAATGAACTGGGGGGTCCATGAATAAATGTAGTCCCTATCAAAATTCCAGGATGGCCAAGTGTGGTGGTACATGCCAGTGATCTCAGCACTCCACAAAGAGGATCCTGGCAAATTTGAGACCAGCCTGATCTGTGTAGGGGGTTCCAGTCTCCCTGGGGCTGTGTACTGAGGCCCTGCCTGAAACAAAATTGCTATGACATGGAGATGTAGCCATGGCAGTGTATTCTCTCTGCTTGCCTGAGACTGGGTCCTAACACACTCTAATACTCTCTATCTAACACACATATATATGTGTGTGTGTGCGTGCGTGTGTATGTGTGTGTATATATATATATGTATATATATATTTTTTTTCCACAGAAAAAGGAAAGAATCTGAAAATGTGTTAGGGAACCATAAAAGATCCCCGGTGCCTGACATAACTGGGTAAAAAGGACAAAGCTGGAGGCCTTACTTTAAAACACCAGCTGGTGGTGATCACAGCAGCATGGTGCTGACAGAAATACATCACATCTGCATTTAATCCCAGCACCTGGGAGG